CAGACCCAGAGTGACTCTCTGCACAGCAGCACGAAACCCCGCCTGGTGTGCGTCAGCCTCACAGTGGTTCCTGAGCCCAGGATGCGGCCACTGTGCCGTCCATCTTACTTTCTCTCGCTGCCCCTCCGCTTTACCAGGCATGAGGGCCTTCTCCGGGGACTGGCCTCTCCCGATTCCAGCTCCAAAGCACACAAGATGAGGTCTGACCACTCTCAATTTCAAGGATCCTGCTGGCTGCACTTCTTTCAAGACAGATTTGTTTCTTCTGGCAGCCCCCGGGCCTTTCAGTGTTCTTGGCTGAAGTGCAAGTTTATCAAGTCCCCAAGCCTTCGGCCGCCGGCCGCCATCGCTGACTGCTTACCCATTGAAAATGCCATCCCTGCCCTCCAGCGCTGTAAGGGACACACCATGTGACCCCTGACTGCTGCTTCCATGAGCATGGATTATGGACCCAAGCAAGTCGAGAGCCTCGACGACTTCCGTCTTTCCTCCATGTATCGTGACATTGTCTGTGGGTCCAGTGGTGAGGATTTGGGAGGGTTTTCTTGTCGGTGAGCCAGAAGCAAAAGGAGGAGTAAGATCTCGTCGAGGAAGTGGGAGGGGAGCGGCACACACAGCTAAGCGCTCAGCTACAAGCCGAGAGGCCAGGCCGGTGGGTCACACTCCTCAGGCGGTGCCTGGGCAGGCAGGCCTCCCCATCTGCTTCCAGAAGGTCGCAGACCCGAAAACTCCGTGGAGCAGTTGTCTGCATGCACGGGGTCGCCTGCCAGGAACAGGAGTGACCGACAACAGGAACAGGGTGGCCTGTTTCCCTCGGAGAAGAACCCAGCAGTCACAAAAGTTAATTAGTTTGGCCACACACACACCCCCTCTCAGCATGAAGGACCGCATGTAACAGATGGGAAGTGTCACCTCCGGCTTATCTCCATGCAGATAAGGTAAGACAAAGACCAGTCAATCCCGAGAAGTGGGCACCGATAGGCCGGGCAGACCCACGTGACCTTAACACACCACCTGCACTCTGTTGTCTCCTTGCCGTCAATCTTCACTCCTGCCAACACCAGGAGTTCACCATCTTGTTCCCCAGCCCCCCTCCGGTGTCCCGACCGGGTTTCCTGGGCTGTGAGCTTTATAGACGCTCTGGTGGATGCGTGCCAATGGCCCACCTTCCACGAGCAGCCAAATGCAGACGCCATGTCCCACCCGGGATCCTGTTTCAGCCGAGAAACAATGCCAATGAGCCGGTGCCGACTCACGGCAACCCTGGAGGACAAGATAAAACTGTCCCTGTGAGTTTCTGAGACCCCATCCTCCCTCAGAGCGGCCGGTGGTTTTGAACTGCTGACCTAGCAGTTCCTGACAGGTAACCACTCCCCCACCAGGGTTCCTGTTTCAGCTGAGCGAGTGAGGCAATCTTCCCCAGGAAAATCTTCCCCCTCTTCTGGAAGAGGTGGTTCTGCCGGGCTGGCCATCAGAGCAAGCGAGGAGGAAATGGGGGCGAGTCAGACATGTTGGTACTGGCGTCGGTGTGGCGGTCAGCTGCTGCCGCGCAGGCGCCACCCCACAGATGGAAACCTCACCCGCTCAAGCCCATGGTCTGGCTTGGGTGTATCCGGAGGGGGCTGATCTTCCAGCGCAATGCGGGGCAGCTCGGTGGTCACCCCCAGGGATTTCTGTAGGTGATTTTCACTCGATCCCCAGACCTTTCTTCTTCCTCTGGAAGCAACCGCCTCGGGTGACCAGCCCTGCTGATGTTTTAAAGGAAATACTGGTGGTCTGCCTTCCAGGGTCCCAGCAACAAGCCAGCTACCACAGTACAGAACAGACGGACAAACTAGCAGACCTGTGTGCATGTGTGGCTTGTCTGTGTGCGAGGGGGGGGCACAAAGGCGGGGCACTGTGGAGGAGCAGCCGCTGTAGGCAGCAGGGGTGATCCGTGGGCTCTCCCTGCTCCCCGCTGCTCGGTTAGCTGATTACTGCTCACTCCCATGGGCATCCGAGTAGGACTGGCCTCGTAGGGTTTTCAAAGCTGCTTTTTTTTTGGGAAGTGGATCTTTTCCTTTCAGAGGTGCCTCTGGGTGGAACTGAACCCCCAACCTTTCATTCAGCAGCAACGTGTGTTAACTGTTTGTGCTACCCAGGGCTACCTCCAGGGTTTGGACTAAAACCAAACTCGCCGCCATGAGGTTGAGGCTGACTCCTTGCGACCCCATAGGACAGCGTAGAACTGGCCCTGTGAATTTCCATCCAAGATTGTAACTTTTTTCCCCCCAACGATTTTATTGGCACATAATTTACATAGCAGACACTTCAGTAGTCCAGTCATTTCAAGGAGAATTGTACAATCATTACCATATCAATTTTAGAACATCACCCCCCCACACCCCCCACCATGGTTAAATCGCCTTTAAAATGAGTGGTGCGATCAGTCAGTTCTAGTGCTCCCTCCTGCCTCCCGTCTTCATTTCTCACTCCTGGAACCCCCCTCCCCTTCCTATCACCCACCCCCTAGAGTAGAACTGCTCTTGTGAGTTTCTGAGACTGTAACTCGGCAGGAGTGGAGAGTCCTATCTTTCTCCAGCAGAGCAGCTGTGGTTTTGAACTGCTAACCTTGTGGTTAGCAGCCCAATGCTTACCACTACGCCAGACAGGGCCTTGGGGGTTGAGGCCAGGACACTGTATAACCGACTGAAAGCCTTTCTTGGTATTCCAGTTCATAGATGACAAGAAACCCACTTCTCCCAAGGGACAGAAAATGCCCAAAGGCATGTTAAGCTGGCAGTTCCTAGGAAGAATGGTGATTGCCTAGACTGTTGGCTTGGGACAGTGGGCAAGCCAGCAGGCTGGCCAGTTAGTTAACAAACTGCTCTGGGCTATGGGGCATTGACAAAGGCAGAGAGAAGCAGGGTGCCCACTGCCACCCTGACTCGAAAAGAAACCCTGGTGCTAACAGCTAAAGTGCTCTGGGCAGACTCCCAGCAGGCAGGTGCCCTCCCAGTCCATACCTATTGCCCTGTCCCAACTCAGACAGGGATCATTGAAATTACCTGGGGGTGGGTGGGTGGGGAAAGAGGTGTTAGAGGGCAACCAAAAACAAGACTATTAGTCGTTGGTGGAGTCTGACTCCTGGTGACCCCGTGTGTACGGAGCAGGATGGTTCTGGAGGCCGTTTTTCTACGGTAGAGTTGAGTGGGCTTGACCTTCTAACCTTTAGGTGAATAGTGAGTGTGAACCATTTGGTACCCAAGGCACGGATGTCAAGTAGCGTTGTTGCTAGATGCCATCGAGTCTGTTCCAGCTCATGCGGACCCTCCGTTCGACAGAAGTAAACACCGCCCGGGCCAGGCCGGTGCCCTCCTCCCAGGTGTTCTTAGGTTTGAGCCGGATGATGCAGCCACTGGGTCACGATGCCCCTCCACATTACCAGGCACCATGTCCTCCAGGGACTGGGCTCATCTGACAGCGTGTCCAAATGGTGCTACCTTCTTTGAAATGTGGGTGGTGCGGCAGGCGACACCTTTCTTTCGGCATTTCTTGCAGTGTTGTCTCTTACGCTGGTGAGAGTAAAGGTCCTCCCCTGAGACGCAAGCCGGGGCTACGTGGACACATAGGGTGTTGCTTTAGAGATACAAGTATGTGTGTGTGGTATGCTTTGAATGAACTGAGTTACATAACATGTATAATCCTGTGGCAATGACTGACTTGTGCAGCCAGCACCTCTGTTTGTAGAACACCCTGTGCCCATAAGCAGTCGTACCCTAGCGTACACGAGTGTCTCCCCCCACACCCCCAAATCACTATGGATTGATGCCCTGGGCATTTCGTATAAAGAGAATCACATGCTCTGTGACTGGCTTCTTTCACCCGAGCCACGTGTTCAAGGTTCACCCACAGTATAGCGCTCACTGGGGCTGCTCCCCCTTTCCTGGCTGAGTGATCAGTCCTCTAAGGCAGGAACGGGCCAGGGGCTCCCACCTTTGGGATGCTGTCAAAAGTGCAACAGGGAACACGTGCTCATGCCACTTCCAATTCTCTGGGATCACTAGGAAGGGTGGGGCTCCTGGCTCAATCTGGTAACTCAACGCTTGACTTTTGAAGGAGTGGATTGGAGTTTAAACACATTGTCTAATTCGCTTTATGAAGTGTAGGGTGTAGGGAAAGGGAGGGAGGACTGGAGGAGGTGTGGCCAGGTAGAGGGGGAGCTTTGAGGGGGTCGCAGGGCAGGTTGGGTGGGGGGGGCAGTCGGAGCTCTGGTTAAGGCTACTTTCAGTTACGGGTCGTAGGAAGGTCAGCGGCCTGCTGG